TCAATCTATTTTTATTATTATTACAGTGTATCCTATACTTTTATATTCTTATAATAACGGTGTAAAAATTGTTTGGTAGAAATATTTGAGTGATTATTGAATACTTATAACACTATTATTTTTCTAAATTGGATTTTAAATGTTAACTTGAAATTTATGATTTAAATCACTTGATCATTTTTTTATGAAGTTTGAAAATGAATTGGCAATAAATTTGAATTAATATACGAGAACATTATATATCATATCAAGTAAGCAGCACTGATCAAATTAAGCATGTAATGATCAAAAATGTGGTTTAAAAAAAAACCCAAGAAAAGCACAATCATTTAATCTTAGAGAAGAAACCAGTTTAATGACTTCTTTTTTGTTTTTTAATGAAAATAAAATTTAACGATTTAGAAATAATTTTTCATCACTCTACATGATAGAAGCTCAAATATTTGCTCAATGTACGATTAATGAGTGTTCTAAAAAAGAAAAATGCAAAAATTTCGGATTAATTGGCTTTTTATAGCAAAAAATATTAACATCTGTTTGTGATCCTCTGATCCATTCTAGCAGTGATTTGTCTTCAAAAAATGGAAGTAATGAGCAAACTGATATCTAATTTGTTTTGCTGCTTTCTAAAGTAAATTTTATTCTTGCTTTTCATCTATCTAATTTAATATCGTTTATTTTTGATTTGCGCACCAAATCTCTTTATTGCTTTTTTCTGATTGCTAAGCTCATTTGTATCACAAATTTAAAATGCATTTATACTTCTACGCTTTTAAGCATTGCATTTTCCGGTTACTTACTTTTCATTCGTATAATCGAAAAAACTGCTCTTGCACTGTTTATTTATTTGTGATACAAACTTTAAAGCTGCACAAAATTTACAACCTTTTAATATTTGCATTTTTTTCACAAATTTGAATAATCATAAATTTTATCACTAAATTTTGATTAAATTTGCATTTGTAAAAAAGCATACCTAAGAACTTATTGTTTTGAGCAATTAATTGTGCCATTTCTTAGTTTTTTTTACTTTCTTAATCCTTTTCTTTTCACTATTTTAATGTGAAAATGAGAAAATTCGTAGACGGATACTTATTTACAGTGTGATAGAATTTGAAATTTACTGAAATGTAGTAATAAACTAAACGGATTAACATTCTCTCATTATGTTGTCGCTCTGAAATGACTGCTGAATTTTTTGTTCTGAGCACTATTTTTCTAAAAATTTTTTCATGAAGTATTCTAGTCTTGAGGATTAATGTCGGCGTTGAACATTAAAGTGAAATAAAATTTAGAAACCAGATGAATATTAAGGTATATTTAAGCGTGATTCAGTAGTGGATTTGTCGATCCACTGCTCACGAGAAAGTATTAGAAACCTTGTTATTTGCTACTTGAAATCCTCTCTTGGGACTTTATAAGGTCTCATTAGATTTTTACCAAGTTTGTAGTAGTAATGAGTTAGAAGTGAATCATATTTGTACTGACAAGAACTTGAGGTCCTTCTTTAAACTCTCTTGTGGCATATCTGAAACAGGCAATTCTTTCTACTTTCCATAGTTCATTTTCAATTTTGCTTTCATTTTTCAATCATTTAATTGCTTCATTAAAGCTTACTACTAGTTAGTGCTATTTCAAGAGAGTCAAAGTCATGTTCACAAACGTATCCACGCAACTTCATCAAAAGCTACGTGTGGGA